GAGTAAGGGACCGAGAACAGACCCTTGGGGGACACCCGCAGGGACACAGCACCAATTGGATGACTGGCCATCGAGAACGACCCGCTGATGTCTATTATCAAGATAACTGTATAACCAGTTAATCAGGGGCCCCTCGACGCCATTCATTTGCAATTTGAACACAAGGCCAGTATGCCATACCTTGTCGAAGGCCTTAGAAAAATCTAAAAAGACTGAACGAACCTCCTTCCCCGAATCCAAGGCTTCAAATATTAAATGCGTAAAATACACCAGCTGACGCACAGTCGAGTCGCCCCGTATGAAGCCAGATTGCAATCGGTAAAGGAGGTTGTTATACATAAAATGATTGTACAAATGTTTATAAACTATTTTTCTAAGGACTTTTGAACAAGGAATGGACAAATAAGGAAACCGGGCGATAATTACACTTGTCCTGGGGATCCCCCTTTTTAAAAATAGGAATGACATTTGCAAATTTCCATATGTCAGGGAAAATTCCATGACACAAAGAAAGATTAAACACATATGCTATCTTATCGGCAATTAAAGGTGTAATAACTTTAAGGAACTTATTATCAATATTATCATGGCCATGGGCCTTATAAATGTCTAAATTACCTACAAAAAGACAAATTTCCTCAGCGGAGGTGGTAATTTCACACGAACGTTGGTCAGTTAGGAAATGAAATGGTGGCAAAGAAGCATTTGAATCATCGATAGTGGACTGTGACACAAAATAATCATTAAAAATCTTTGCCTTATCTGCTGAGTCTACTATTAAAGAAGCACCTTCTTTAAGAGGAGGAATTGTAGAAGTAACTTTCGGTTTATAAAAATATTTTACAATATGCCACCACTTTTTACCTAGAGTTGATGGTTCATCAAGTGAGTTAACAAGACGATTATAATATGAGGATTTACTATTAGATATAGCATTAGAAAGTCGATTACGTACTCTGCGGTAGGCTGCCCAATTAATAGGGGTATTGGAGAGTTTGGCAATTTTATGGAGTTTGTCACGCAATCTCATTAATTTACGAATATCGCGAGTTATCCAAGGTTTGTCCCTCGGTCTAACTACTATGGATTTACTAGGAACACACAGGTCTTTGGCCTCTAGAATCAATTGGGCTAGCTTTTCAGCAGAGTCCTCGACGGATAAACAAGAGAAAATGTCGCACCATTTAGGGTGTGAACAAAAGACAGATAGTTTATCCAAATCAATATTCCGGTAATCCCAAACAATACGTGAGTACGGTTTGGGGGAATACACAGAAAATAACATAGAGCAGACAGTCGGACTATGGTGGCATCCTGATAAGGGTGCCAATATCGCTGTAGTATCTACATAGTTAACAGCGTCCGTGAATATCAAATCAATAAGAGAAGGATTCTGAGATAAATCACAAGTTGGCTCCTCAACAATTTGAGTAAGATTTAGAAATTGAGTGGTTTGAAATAATTTGGCCCCGGCAGAAGTCGTTTGGTCCAGGTGCCACCACATTTCGTGTTTGGAATTGAAGTCCCCAACTATGACAATTGCATCTGGGTGAGAAGCTCTCGCCAGCTGAACCGAGTTAGAGAGGGAATCTGTAAAATCGTTTACTGTGGCGGCATCCTGGCCAGGTGGGCGATAGTAAACAGAGAATAGAATTTTAAACGAATTAACTTTGAGTTCAATCCAAATAGATTCATATAGCTGAGGTTCCAGATCAGTGCGTCTTTTAAAAGGAATCAAACTCGAGAGGTAGAGAAGTACACCACCGCCGTGCCTGTTTCGGTCACGGCGTAATGGTAGTTGGTAACCATCAATAAGAAGATCTTCAGAAGAAATAGCACCGCTAAGCCACGTCTCAGTAATGGCAATAATTTGAGCTTCAAAACGTCGAGCAATAGTTGAAAGTTCATCTAACTTAGTGCCAACAATAATACTATTAACATTTGCATGAAAAAAGTTCAAGTACTTGGAAGCAACCGTGGGCCTAACAGGTCCTGGATTCGGGTGTATATCATTAGACAGTACAATCAACAACAACAGAAAATTGAAATGAATCATTGACAATATGAAGCTGAGTATAAACGTCCCTGCACAAAATATACTTGACAGTAATCTAAAGCCGTATTTTACATTGTAAAAATTGCCTATAACTGCCCTATATTGATTCAAATCAATACCCATTTTCCCGCAGACCTACTGGCAAGCTAAACGTCTGGGACAGGTCACAGGGTAAAGAGGAGGACTCACGCTTCAATGATAACAGAAACAAACACAGCATGTACAAAAGATTCACATAAAACAGCAGAAGACATAAAAGGAAACGTAACTGTGGCCGTAGATGGCATATTTTTACTTAGTAGTGTTCCAAGTTAGATGCCTCACATGATCAGTGCTACTTGGACAGTGTCACTTGTCGGGGTTCCGGAAAGCGTCCAAGTCAGACAGTTTGTCGACCGATCGGCGTTCGTCGTGAATCGTCTTGATGAAGATTTTCCCATCGTAAGTCCAGGCCTGATTGATCCTCTTCTCCTTCACGAGAAGTCGAGCTTCGTACAGGAGCTTCCTATTCTGCATGGTTAAGTTTTCACTAATGAAGATTCCTTCTTTCCTCAGGATAGCTCTACTATCAGCTGTAGACTTGGCTTTCATGACGATCGCCTTGGAACGATACGAACAGAACTTAACAATGACTGGGCGGGGTTTACCATCTTCCCTTTTTTTCCCTAGGCGATGTGAGCGATCGATGTCATGAGTGGATAGTGGCGGGTCACAGTTGATCTTATTTGTGACCTGCAGGACTGCTTCATCCGTTCCCCGCTCTCCAGGTGACTCCGGAATGCCGGACACAATAACACAATTGCGTCGGGAGTACTGCTCCAGATCGTTAAACTTACCCTGTAGGGTGGTATAAGCGCCCTGAAGATCAGCAACTTGTGTGGTGAGGTCCTGTAGTTGTTCCTGCTGCAGGTTTAGTTGGTCGTTGAGTTTTGAGAGCTCGGCCTGCACTGCAACAGTCACGGCATCTTTCACAGCTGAGGTGATGGTAGGTATAATGGCGGACAGGACCTCTCCTTGTTGGAAGGCTGTAGTAATAGCTGACTCGATAGTAGCCCTGATACGGTTGTCAATTATACCTGGGATAACCTCATCCCTTTCCTTAGCCGTAAGACCCATCGTTTCAGCTTCAGCTGGTCCAACAGACGGAGCGTTTCGCAAAGAAAATGTAGCACTGATACGGACGCTAGTTAGACACGTCCGTAGGTATCGGCCATCTTGAAACCATGTGAACAGTTGTCCTGCCTGTTAACAGTTCTGCACCCCGCCATAATCTCCAAGCAGATCTTTTGGTGGGGGTAAGACAGTATCAAATTGGCCAGTCTGTATTGGGTGGGGAAATGGATACAGACTGGCCAATTTGATACTGTCTTACCCCCACCAAAAGATCTGCTTGGAGATT